GGGGTTTCACCATGTTGGCCAGGCTGGTCTTGAACTTCTGACCTCAAGTGATCCGCCCGCCTCAGCCTCCCAAAGTGCTGGGATGACAGGCGTGAGCCACCACGCCCAGTGGGGATCTTTTCATAATATTGTCTCTTTTAAAATCTTACAGGTAAAGAAACAGGAGCAGAGAGATTAAGTAACTGGCCCAAGATCATCACACTGTAGCTAAGAGGTGAGGTCAGACTGTGAACCCAAGTCCCCTGCTCTTCCCCTGGGGCGTGCTGGAATCACCCTTGAGATCACTGGAAAAGGGGTAGTGGGGGAGTTCCCTCACTGTGGCCGCAACACTGGCCAACGAGGGCCGAGTGCGGGCCCTGTAGCTTTCAGTGTGGAGTTTTCAATTCCAGATTTAACTCTGCCCTGGGCTCAGACATTTTTCCCAATAGAAAGGTTGGTTGGTTCAAACTCCTAATTTACTTTGTCCCGGGATGGTATTACTTTGAGGTCTTGTCTTTTCAGACAGAAAAATAAAATCCTGCCTAAGCAACAGAGGCTTAGAATTCTCCCTCAGGGTTCCTCTTCCCCGCTCTCTGTTGGGAGGGTGAGCGGGGATGTCTTTTGCTGGGTCTTCCTAGAAGCGGGTGGCATTCAGGAATTCTCAAGGGGACCTCAAGCATGTGTTTAGACTGTGCTAGGTTAGAGACAGAGCTTGGGGGTGCTCAATTTCTTTTTTTTTTTTTTTTTTGAGACGGGGTCTCGCTCTGTCGCCCAGGCTGGAGTGCAGTGGCGCGATCTCGGCTCACTGCAAGCTCCGGTTCCCAGGTTCACGCCATTCTCCTGCCTCAGCCTCCCAAGTAGCTGAGACTACAGGCATCCACCACCACGCCCAGCTAATTTTTTGTATTTTTAGTAGAGACGAGGTTTCACTGTGCCAGCCAGGATGGTCTCGATCTGCTGACCTCGTGATCCACCCGTCTTGGCCTCCCAAAGTGCTGGGATTACAGGCGTGAGCCACTGTGCCCCACCCCTCATTTTGGTTTTAGCTGGAAAGGAAGAGAGAGCATCAACGAACCGTGAGGTCTCCGCCGTGAGGCTGCAGCTGGCTGTCGGCCTTAGGCTTTTTGCTGGAAGAGGCTGAAGTGAACAAACTGTTGCCATTAGGTCGGCTGGAAGAAGTTAAGTCCTCGCTGGTGTATTTGTGTTTAGATGCATCGGAGAGGGGTGAGATGGGCGAGCGAAGCATTTTTTCATTTTTATTTATTGGTATTGCCACACTGAAAAAGGAAATGACAGTAATGGAACGTCACAGAGTCAGCACAAGGAAAGGTAAATGTTTTCCTATGACCCAAACCACCCAACTGGGACCTGTTGGTGGGAGAAGCTTCTTGGGAACTATTACACCAGGAAACAAGTTAATGGCATTAGGATCATAACAAACAAGAAGCAAGTCTCACTCACTGTTTCTTTTCTCTCCCCATCAGGATGATAGTAATTCTGGAGCTGGCACCAAAGGACGCAACTAACACTAGTAACACTTTCATTTTCCAAGTCCTTTATCCAAGGATCTCAAAATACCCAGAAAACAACTTACTGTTTTCCTAACAAGCATAAGGAGCAAGCAGTGGGAAAGTCAGTCAACAACAATAAATGAATTCTACATTTCTTTCTTTTCTTGAGACAGGGTCTGGCTCTGTTACCCAGGCTGGAGAGCAGTGGCAGGATCTTGGCTCACTGTAGCCCTAACCTCCTGGGCTCAAGCAATCCTTCCACCTCAGTCCCCTGAGTAGCAGGGACTGTAGGTATGCATCACCACACCTGGCTAATTTTTCATATTTTTTGTAGAG